ATGCAGGATGAATAAGTTCTGGAGATCTAACATTCAACATGTGACTACAGTTAATAATACTGTATCATATACTTGAAATTTGAGAGCAGATCTTAAGTGTTCTTACCACAAACACACAAAATGGTACTTATGTGAGGTGATGGATATGTTAATGGACTTGATGTGGTAATTATTTCACAATGTATACCTACATCAAAACCACATAGTATATTTTAAATATGTACAATTTTTATTTGTCAGTGATACCATAATAAAGCTGGGGAGAAGAAATAAAACCGTTCCTGGAACTTAGTAGGCACTCAATAAATGTGTGAAGGGTGAATGATGTATAATTTCAAATACAAAGAACTTGCTTTGTATTCTCTGTCACTTCCGAGGTTGGCAATGCAGAATAAAGCTTCTCAACCACTTGACGATGGTTTGCCTTTGGGACTGGATAATTCTCTGTTTGCGGGGGCCTGTCCTGTGTGTTGTACGATGTTTAGCAGCCTCCCCAGCTTCTGTCTACTAGATGCCAGTAGAAATCCCCACTTGTGACAACAACAAAAAATCTCTCCAGCCCTTAAGTTCTAGCTATGTGACAAGTAATTTACCTCTCTGAGCCCCAGTCCTCATTATAAATAAGGGGTTAGACTACCCACCCCATAATGCAGTTGTGAGGATTAAACGAGGTAATGTGTCCCAAAATAGCCAGCATGGTGTCCCCTTAATGTTCATTTCCCTCTTGGCTCTGGGACTGAGCTCCTTCATGTATCCAGGTTTCGTTACTCATTTTGAGTCCTACTTCTTCTCTTGGTTTTGTCTCACTTGCCTGTTTTCATGGCCTCGGATCCTCCCTCTTTGTCTCAAGAACTGGGAATTTCTTCTTACAGCCAGCCTTCTAGCCACTGGATATGTCTCCATTCTGAATCCCGCATCTGGTTCTGAGATGCAGCTCCATCTCAACTATTTTCTCCCAGGCTTATTCCATACTTGAACCTCTCCTATCCTATCACCTTTCCAGCCACCTGAACTACATCAAGGTTATTCTCAGACCAGCAGCTCACACTGGTGGGGATGAGAAGCAAATCAACATGCCTGGGATTCATGTCATCATCTTCCACTGCACACAAAGACAATTACTTCTCTGGCTCTGGACTTCTCACCTCATAAATTAGAAGACTCGTTAGTTGTTGGTTGGAGTTGCCTTTTCCACTGACCATGAGATAAATATCTATTTGTCTTCCTAGAACCAGCTGAATTTTAAGTTTCCTTCCCATTTCAACCTTGTGTGTCCAGGTTTCAAACATGGGAGTGAAAGAATAGTTAAGTGTTAAGAAAGTTAAGAATTAAGGGTTAAGAATAATTAAGGGTTAAAGTGAAGAACTTCTCAGTCAGAATTATGGTTCCCTCTTCTGTCCCCATCTGGTTGCTTTCTGGTGATGGTGTGATGTAGTGAATAGGGTCCAGGTTTTGGGGTCAGATGAACTGTAGGGGATTGTCACTCTGCTACTCACCAGCACTAGCCATACAAACTTAGGTAAGTTAGTTACTCATTCTGAACCCCTGACTCTCTTTCGTTCTCCACCAGAAATCGCTCTTATGAGGGCTATATGTATAATGTATGGAACGCCCCAAGAAACTGCATCCAGCACAATACGGGCCTTTGTTAAATGTCATTTTCTCTTCCCTTTATATTCCCAGTCTAGTACCTCTATTTAATCCTCCTACAATCTAGAATTATACTGTCGCCTCTTTTTGGGCAAGGGTCCTGTTTCATTAATCTTTACATTTTCCTACCCTCTATTCTTGCATATTGCTTTTGCATAGTTATGACTCGATTAAGCGTCTACTGGATGAAATGGACTTGAAATTTGACATGCTGTAGGACAGGAAATAAAAATAAATCATAATAAAATATAGTTGAAAATAATGAAAAAAATCTGAATATGGAAGAACCAGAATGATAAAGAGAAATTGGCCTGGGAATTCAATCCATGCTGTTTTCACCTAGGCTTTGTGTGGGTGAGCAGTGATGAAGAGCAAGGACTTTGCAATAAGACAGAGCTGGGTTTGGAGTCAGACCAATCCAGGACCTAGTAGAGTATCTGCCACACAACAAATGTTTCCAGTAATAACTACTTAATGAAGCTTGTAAATGTTTTAATATATTTGACTCTAATTATGTCACATACAAGCAATTATTTTACTTCTCTGAGACTTGATTTATTAATCTGTAAATTGGGAATAATAATGAGAATGAAACAAATTAATGTAAATAAAGAAAGTGGCCAAGTGCCCAGCACACAATTTGTGTGTAACACATCGTAGATACTACTGCTGCAGAGTCTCTGCTTTACCTTGGGCTCGCTATTTGTGAATATGGTTAATAAAAATTCCTGGATGTTGGTAATCATATCCCATGGCACACTGGGCTAGCTTTTGGAATACTGAACCTAGAAAAAACAGTGAGGTATAAATCGGACCAGCTCTAAAGCCTGCAAGCTGTGTGCTGGGTAAATCACCTTACTTTTCTGATTCTCCGTGTCTGTAAGTGTACGAAGTAGTTGTGATCTAGGATCTTTTCTATTCCTAAAAGTCTTTGAGTAGGACTAATTGACCTCGACGGGTCCTTCCATTTTTAAGAGCGTACGATTAGAAGAGTAAGCTATATGTCCCTAAATGTTGGCCACTGACATCTGTGTGTGTGTGTTTGGTTGCGGGGAGGGGAGGTGGTACTGGGGAGAGTGTGTTGCTGATCCGGAGGGGCAGAGAAGGGGCGTAATACGTGTTGATTATCTATCAGACCGCGAATATGTGTGTCACTCTTCATATATTTTATATACTCCCACAGAAACCCTGTCAGAATTGAGTTGTGAGCTCTGCTTTCCCCATAAGGAAATTAAGGTTGAGAGATGTTAAGTAACCTGGATAAAGACCCAAGAGGGAAAACTGTTTTTTTTCTTTTCCTCTGTGCTGCCCCTTCCTCAATCCAGCCTCTCATCGGCTAGTGCCTGGATTATTCGTTCAATCAGTGTGACTGGGGACCTCCCAGCCTGCTCCCCTCCAGTCCAGCCTCCGTGATGTTGAGAATAAGACCATTTTATTTCCCTTCAGGAGCCTAGACTAGCCCTGAGGGAAAAATCCAAGCTTCTTAGCACAGTTTCCAAGGTCCCAGATGATCTGTCTCCCACCTACCTCTCCAGCTGCATTGTCACTTTCATCCTTTCATCTGTATTTACTGAGCACCTCCCTCATCCCGGACATTTTGCTGGGCTGCCTCCATAAAGGTAAGAGGTGGTCCTGCCCCTTACTTATAATGTAGTAGGGTTAGACATACCATAATCAACTAACCACACAGATACCTGTCCCAATCTATCTGTCTATCTATTAACCTATCTATCTATCTCTCTATCATCTATCATCATCATCATCACCTATTAACAATAACTAACATTTATTAAGCACTAATGATCAAGGAACTACTTTAATCACTTTAACTGTATTTTTTTCACTTAAACCTTCCAATAAGCCTATGAGATAGGCATTTTTATTTCCATTTTCCAGGTAAGAAAACTGCCTCATAGACAGTTTAAATGTCTTGCCCAAGGTCACACAGCTAGGAAGTGGCAAGGCCAGGATCTGTGCCCAGGAAGTGGCCTGGACTCTCCACAACCTGCTACTACTCCAGTGTATGGTTACAGACGGTGACAGGTACCACAGAAGAAAGGCTTGGGCTACTATCAGTGTGCAGCTAGTGGTGGGGAGCCTGAGGAAACAGTTTTAAAAAGTGATTTTTTTCACCCAACTGCCCTCATTTCTTCCACCCATTATGCACACTGGCCTCCAACAGAGATGAACCCCTTGCTGCTCTTTGCTCTCTACAGCCTTCCCATCATTCCGAATGCTGTTTCCTCTGTGTAGAAGGCCTGCGCCTCTTCATCAGCCTAACATCTGCTCATTCACTCATTTGCCAAGCACCTGCTGGACCTGCTACTGTGTCAGACACTCTGCTAGAGTCGGTGTCTACAGAGATAAACGGACAGGAACTCTGCCCTCTGGTGCTCACCATCTGGAGGGGAGATGGACAGAAAGAAAAGAGAAATACAGCCTGCCTATTCCACAGAACACTAACACCATTTTTAATAACAAAAATACTATACAGAGTGTATATTTTTAAGCCTAAGATGAGTTTTTAATTGTTACCAGATCAACAATCTGAAATCTTCTAGTGATTTTTTTCCTCCGTGCAATAAACCCTGTCTTCCCATCCTGTCCCTCTTTCCCCTTTGTCCCTTCCTCCCTCCCTCCTTCCTTCCTAGTCATCCCTTGGAGGTGATGTGAGTACCTCCTTTGCTTTCCCCATGTCAGGCACTGCACCTGTCGATCATCCTTCAAAACTCAGTGTGAGGCCCTCCTACAGAAGGCCCTTCTTGAACCACAGGTTCCCAAGAAGGTTGAGGAGGGCTCTTCTTTCTGCTCCCACTGTCTCCCGTGAGAACTGATCCTGAGGCCACAGTGGGAAGGTCTGCTGTCTGCCTCTACTGTAGACTCTTCACTCCCTGAGGGCAGGGACTCTATATGTAGAGTTTGACACAGTGCTTGCATAACGCAGTAGATGTAGGTACCCAGTAAATATTCATTCCATGTGTAAATAAATTAAATTCAGGAAGAAACCACAATGGAAAATATGCAGACAAAAAGGGCTTGGTTATAAAACTCTTAAGTCTCCTGCAACCTGAAATTCTATGAGATGTAAATTTTCTGGGTACTTATGCCAGGCAGTCTGCAAACCTAATTGCCCTTTGCATAGTCTGTCTCTTGTGATAGCAGGCATCAGACACATCTCTTTACTTAAGACTTATGTAGAACCTCTGATTTTTAGCTGAGCACATGACCACCCAGAGTGAAATCTGTATCTCTTAGACTCTCTTCCAGCCAAATGCAGCCAATAGGAAGTTAGGACCCATGCTACATGACATTTTCACTTCTGTCTTTAAAAACAGGCAACATTCCCCTACCTCAGTCCTCCTGGCTGGAATATCCATCCACCCATGTGTGGTCAAATATTCATTCAGACAAGGGCCAAGCCCGAGGGATGGTGGAGCAACAAGACAACAACTGGAGTCTCCGGTAGCTCGGAATCCTTACGGATCGTGGAACACTCACCTCCAGACCTAAAGGAAAGAGAGACAAAATAGACCTCAATCTTGTTTGAGATGCTGTTATGTGGGAACTCTGTTACATGGAGCTATATCTAATACTGACCAGTACACTGATCTTCCTTTTATAGAAACATAGATTGTCAGAGGCATATGGGACTTTAGAATTAACCTAATCCAGTGTTTCTTAACCTTTTTGGAGTCAAGAATATTTTAAAATTTGATGGAAGCTCACTACTATAAAATAACATAAAATGCATGTCCATAGTAGACCATGGCCCTCTCCTGGTTAAGCATTCCTAGTTTGGTTGTAAACCTTCATTTTAACCACAAGCAAGCTGTGGTTCAGAAAGGCCCTAAAATTTGCAGACAGTCCCATGGGAAATTGGACCAGTATCCCTGATTTATTACCCCCAAGCTGGTGCTTTTTCCTCCAAAAGACACTGTGTAGTTTCCCTGGGCAATGTTCCAGTGATGGCTATCTGATGGGGCTTCAGAGATATTTTAGGTTTCTTGGTAAATACTGATGACTTAGCCTTCTTTATTCATTCATTCATTCATTCAATCATTTATCTACTTTAGAAGCAATTATTGAGCATCTTCCAGGGTTACGCACAGGACAATGCCCTGTTATACTATAGTGAACAAAACACAGATATTACTCCTATTATTATGTGGCTTACATCCAATGGCTGAGTCAGATGTTAAACAAGTCAGAACACAAATGCATTTATAATAACAAATTGGGGTAAGTACTATGAAAGAAGTAAATGGGATGGTAGCAGAGAATATTAAATAAGGGGATCTGCTGGGAATGTCAATTTTGTGGAGTTGACATTTAAGCTGAGATGAAAGATGAGAAGAAACTGGACATGTGGAGGGTAAAGGAAAGGGTATTCCAGGCAGAGGGAACAACCTATGCAAAGATCTTGAGAAGGAGGAAGTTAGAATATTAAGGAGCTGGAAGAAAGCTCACTGTGGTGGGCTCACCTACCTAAGGAAGAAATTGAGATGTAGGTCAGGGCAAGATTGAACAGTCCCAAGTGGACCCTTGATGGCCTCTTAACAAATGTGGGCTTTCATTGTAATTACAGTAAGAAGCCGTAGGAAGCTTTTCAAGAGACAGCCTTTATCACTTCTTCCAGAGGGAGAAGTGATGTGATTCTAGGTTTTCAAAAGACCGCTGTGGTTGCTTTGTGAAAATGAATTGGGATGGTAGATAAGAGTAGACACAGGGTGGTATTTGAGAGGATACAGTTGTAGCCCATGTCACTAATAGTCAGGTTGCACAGATGGATTTGAAATGTATTTTGGACGTAGGAGGTACTTTGGCTTGGTGGGGGACTGGCTGCAGAGTGTGAGAGGACAGCCAACAGGTCTCTTGCAAATCGTAAAGGAGTCTTCTATGGAATTCTCCAGCAAAGCGAGCCCAGATATATTCTAAAGTTGATGAAAGATCCTTGTCAACAGCTACTGACCTGCTCACAGACCTTTCCTGGGATGCCAAAGCAAAACAAGGTTAAAATCCAGATTGTTTCAGTGGGCTAGATGCCATTTCTTAACTGAAAGGGTGGAAGTTGCACATTCAGAATAAGATCAGAGAGAATTTATTTCATTTTTAAAAATAAATTACCACAAATAACTCATTGATTTGATTTGGAAGAGAATAAGATGTGTGCTACAGTTTTGGGGTTATGCTTACATGAACTGACTGAAAAGGCAGAAATTTAGAACTTCAATTATAAAAGATTTTGGAAAACATTTTCATTTAATTACTCATTATAATTATGTTTCTATGGCAATAACTTGGTGTTTTAGAACCCAAAATAGGCAACAGTTGATCACTCATCTACCTTAAAGCAACAAGTGGATGAATATGGTGAAGATTCTCTGTCATCTCTTTTTCAGTCAGGAAAGCTGAGTCCTTCCCTGACTGAGTTCAGGCCTCAGAAGCTTGCTGGAAAATCAAAGCACCCTTCACCTCCCCCCACCCTCATTCCAGCAGGACAGAGAGGGAAACAAACACTGAGCACATTGTAATGCCAAGTAAGTTCTTATATGTTAATTAATGTTAATTTTCACAACAACCTGGGTAGGTTTTAGTATCTCTACTTTATGTCTGAGGAAAAAGAGCTCAAAGGAAAAACCAGTGGAAGTGTCCACAGAAAAAGAAAGTAGGGTCGAATCTCTAAAACTCATGCATTGGGTCATGTCACTCTCATGCAGACTTGCACTTTAAAACTCATTTCTCAAGTGTTTCCCAGTTCTAGAAGTGAAAGAACAATACTCAGAAATTCTCAGAAAGTCCAGTATTCCCAGCAACACTTGGTTCTTAGTTCTGATAACTTAATACCCTATATAGTAGAATTACTGGACCCAACTTTTATCAGTTTGTCCACGCCACCTTCTGAGTGACTTTGAAGTTCTTCCCGCTGGAAGCAGAGGAAATACTTCTGCATCCCTTGACTTTGGGCTCAGTCATGTGACCTACTTCAGCCAATTAGATAGTAGCATTCATAAGCAAGGAAAGGCTTGAAAGGCACTGCAGGATTCTATTTGCCCTCTTGTGCTTCTACTGTTATCTGAGAAGAACACGTCCAGGGTAAGCACTGCCCCTCAGCCTGGGTCCCGGAATAAAGCCAGGCAGCGCAGACCTGAGCTGAGACTTGCAGCAAGAAGCCAAGCCCAGCTGACTTACAGCCCAAAGCAGCACCACCCAACCCAGCACAGCCAAGATCAACCAATTCTCCTTTGACCTGCAGACCCATGAGCAAGTAAGTGGTTGTGGTTTTATGGCTTTGAGTTTGGGGGTGGCTTACTATACACCATTTGGGGGACAATGATTGTTATCTTATGATAGCGGCTTTCACCTTCTGGATGTTCTGCTTCGTAAAATGTAGCCAGCAAATACTTTGTGAGCATGGGCTATGTAAAAATCAGTAGGAAGTTCAAACAGTGGCTTTGGGAAATTCAGAGATTAAAGCACAAGTTTCCTTCGAGACAGCTCACAGTCTAAGGAGAGAAGAGAGGGCAAAAGGTACCAAACACATGGGGTAAATAAATGGGGGACTTCCCTAGTGGCGGCGCAGTGGTTAAGAATCCGCCTGCCAATGCAGGGGACACGGGTTCGAGCCCTGGTCTGGGAAGATCCCACATGCCACGGAGCAACTAAGACTGTGCACCACAACTACTGAGCCTGCACTGTAGAGTCCGCAAGCCACAACTACTGAGCCCATATGCCACAACTACTGAAGCCTGCGCGCCTAGAGCCTGAGCTCTGCAACAAGAGAAGCCACTGGAATGAGAAGCCCGCGCACCGCAACAGAGTAGCCCCCGCTCCCTGCAACCAGAGAAAAGCCCTCACTCAGCAACAAAGACCCAACGCAGCCAAAAATAAATAAACTAATTTTTTTAAAAAAAAGCGGGAATGGGGAGGAGCCACTGGATATGGGTTCATTATAGAACTTACCCAGCTTCCAGGATCCAAATTAGAGGAAGGCGCCAATTTAAAAAGCTGATCCAGGTATGCAGTCAGTGGCAGAATGTTTAAGCAGGCTACCTGGCCAGGGGAGCGATACTGTTACCAAACACAAGTCCGTATTCTCAACGCACAGTGAGGCCAAACAATACCAAAACCTCGGAGTCTGGAGCAGAGAAAGGTTTATTGCAGGGGCCTTGCGAGGCGACCGGTGGCTCATGCCTTAAAAACCCCAAACTCCCTGAAGGCTTTCAGCAAAGCCCTTTTATAGGAAAGGTGAGGGAGGAGCTGATTAGTTGTTGCAAACTTCTTCGTGTCAGATCCTTTGTTTTTGCAACTGGTCAGGTCAAGTTCAGGTCACGATGTTCCTGTAAACCTCCATCAAAACAGTGTTATTCTCTGTTCTGCAACTTTTTATCTAAAGGTGTAATACTCTTAAAGGTCACAGGCTTGAGAATTATACAAGAAAGGGAAGGGGAGGCTTTAAGCTCAGTCTCCATGCCTCCTGGCGGCTTTTAACCCTTAACAAATCCTGTAAGCAAAGCGACATCGTTACCCCTCATTTTACTTGTTTAACATTCCAAGGACCAGCTCTTGCCCTCCGGGGTCCAGGCCCTGGCTAAGGGTGGGGGGTCCCCACACGGCCCGTCACCCTGCCTGGGAGCGCTCGTCCAGCACCAGGTCTGCGTGCTTCCGCCAGTGCCCAGGCCCCGCTGAAGAGGCAGATCTCAACTGGTGGCGCCCTCGGGGCCAGCTCCGCAGACCCTGCCCAGCTGCCATCACTGAGGGAGCCGGGCGCCCAGGACCCAGCCAGCCCTCAGGCTCCCTTGGCTGCACAAACGGGGGGGGGGGGGGGGGGGGGGGCCGGGTCCGCAGACCACGACCCAGGGAGACCACCTTCGTGGGGACCACCCACCGCGACGCTGACCGTTGTCTGAGCACCCTGCCCCTGTTACAATACTAGACATTCCATAGGGCGGTACTAATGGATTTGTGTTCTAAGATACAGTTAATGAAAACTGACTCCATTCCAGGTTTCCTTCTGAGAACCTTCTAAAATTACCAATTTAGCCCCTTGAGGTAAGTACAATTATTCCTTTCCATTTCCTAGATTAAGCAACTGGGGCTTAAAAAGAGTAAGTAATTTGTTCCAAATCGCACGTCTAATGAGTTGTGGAGTAGGGATGAAACACTGCGGTACCGGGCCTCCGGGCCTCCACGAGGGCCCTCGGGCCTCCTGCCCCCAGGACTTACCCGAGTACAGTCTCCCCCTGCTTGTACCAGGCTTGGTCTGTGTGAGCAACAGGATACTGCAAAAGGGACGTCAGGGTACAGAGGAGACTAGCATTTCAGTCTTGCGTTCTTTCTCTCAGACTGAAATAGAGGCAGGGCGGGCGCGCGGCCCTTAGCCCGCGGCACTCAGCTCTCGACTGTTATCGCGAGACCGTTATCACGAGACCGTAGGGTCCCGCTCCAACAAGTCAGCCTGGCAGTGGTCCTCGTGGCAGAAGTTGCAGTGAGATGCAGATCGTGGCCT